TGTTATCTCAGATTCTCCAGCATCTGCAGTTCCTATTATCTCCTCATTGCATAGGGGAACTTATATATTTGAGAATACAAACAACATACAACAAAAGGCATATATATATGTTCAAGTGAGACAAATCTAATATGAATCTTATTGCTGGTCTCGCTACAGCTAGGTACGTATCATTTATTTTCACAGCAGAGAGTAAAGTAACACAATAGGACAGTATATAGCAAAAAACAGACTGTAGCCATGTTGTGGAGGTGCCAGCGTTGGACTAGGGTGACTGCGCTCCGAAAGCTTGAGTGATTCCACATAAACCTGTGGGACTATAATCTGGCGTTGTCTGACTTCTGACTAAAAACAGAGATTGGTAACAAAGCATGTTTCTTCCCCTCCCCCAGTGCTTCAATATCTCACTTCAGAAAATGCGTAATCAGAGACTACTTTCAAGCAGATCACTATGTTGTTATCAGATGCATTTTAATGTTAATTTTTATTCTTCTTCGCCCTAGCCAAAAGAAGTGCAGAAGGCAACTGCAGCTTCTCTCTCACTACTGCAGCTCAGGTTAGTAAACTCAACACACAGACAGTAAATTACTGACACGGTTGGGAAATCGATCACGTGGCATGTTTCATCCTGAGAAAGCACCAGAGATATACGTATAACAACAATTTTAGACTGCCTTGTATCAATAATAGCTTGCATCAATTTTTTATTTGTACACTGAAGTTTCTTTCCTAAACTAAAACGTAGCATGGAATCAACATAACAAGCCATGTTTTGCAATGGAATCAGCACTATAGTTCAACAAATCATTATATGAGCCACCTGTGAATCAACGCTCTTTCCAAAAGGCCTGATAAACTGTATCATGGTGACAGATTTCCACCATAACTACAAATACAACAACCAAACTAGTTTTGCAACACGGTGAATCAACACCTCTAGAATATTAGTATTTCTTTGAGGAGTTAACTGATAAAAACTTTGAAAATTAAATACGTAGCAATATGCGTATTGCATGATATGAATAGTTGTGCGGTTGATTTATTCCTTCGTGGTGAATTCAGACAGTGTCTGTCAATGTGCAGTTCAACATGGAAATCCAGAAGTTGCTGGCTGAATTTAACAAAATGCCACTGAGAGAATAGGCATTGAAAAAAATGTAAGGGTGTGAAGTTGTATTGCTCATCAACTAGGTATTCATTAAAAGATGCCAGGAAAAGTTAGGGTTCTCACTTTCAAGCCTAAATTAATTCTCAAATGGTGTGACAACTCTTAATTACAGCCAAACCACTTTTCTGGAACAGTGGAGTCCAATTCCTTCAAACTTTAGTTACTGGCAAAGACATTTTTCAAATTTCAAAAAAATGGAGATGTTTCGTTCGTATCTTTCTTGTCCAATCCCATGTTTTAGTCCCCTTTAAACCTGATTTTGTTATGAATTAAAATATTCTAGCTAACATTTCTTGGTTTTGGCTTTGGCTTTGCCTGCATCAAGAGAGTGATTCATCAACCTGATTAGTTGAAAAGACATTCTGTAGCTTAGCCTCTTCGAACAAGTCCCACAGCCCCTGTAGAGGCCCGTGCACGTTCTGTCAGACAGCTGATGACTGTAATTTTCCATTAAAATGATGAGAAAGTGTGTGTGAGCTGCTTTACCACAATAGTATATTCTATTCCTTCAGCAATGGCTAGGCCCTTCTTTGGCTGCTGAGCTGCAGTTCCGCGGCTAAACATTTCCTACATTAGACAAGAGTGACAATACTTCAAAAAAAAGAGTACAAAATTTGCTCTAAAGCACTTCGGAAAATCTTGAGGTCCTTAAAATGGCACTATTGAAGTGCAAACTGTTCTTCCCTCATCAGTTTATTCAACAGTTCAGTTACTCATGTGTGATCCTAAGACCGAGCATTAGTAAGCTATTCCATGGTGGAATGCATTATGGCTGCAGGCAAGCTTATTCATCACCATTCCAAGGCTACTAAACTAGTTAAACTATATCTATTGCTGCCGCGATTTAAGCACAGTTCAGATCTTCATGGTCTGCAAGAAATAAAATTACTTGTTTTTTTTTGATACTGCATCACTTACAAAAGATGTACGATTACATAAACGCGACACCCATTTTGCTTACAGAAGGATTCCAAATTGGATGAAATGAATAGTTATGTGCTTTTTGGTGGACGTAGTTAAGGCCACTGGTCAAGACAGTGGAAGAATTTTCTACTCCTCTGAGCAAACTCAACAGGTTTTTTTTGACACCAATTTACATTTTTACAAGAGGTAAAGAAAGTCTCCATCTCATCTCCAGTTGAACCTTGCAAGAACGGGCACCACTGTAGACTGCAGCATCAGATGAGAGGATACGCATACTGCGGATTGGGAAACTGATCCAAACTGCTGATGCTGCAAGGGAAACCAAGCTTACACATCAGGGATTTTGATTGCTCCTTTGTAAGCAAGGGTCTAACCTTGATTCCAACTTGTGCACCAACATATCCAAGATTCCACGTTCTTGGAAACAATGCTGGACTTAATTTCTCACTCAAAAGGAAATGCTCTGCAAACATTTATGACAACTTTCATCACAAATTCTATTTCACACAATTAAAGAAAGAACTCAAATTATGCCTACCGTTTGGCTTCCTCTAGGTGGCATAAATATTCATAGGCAATGTTCTGATGCCTCCTCTCATCCATTTCCTCCGCAGAGAGTCTTTCATCATCCACAATAGCTACGAAAGAGAAATGCACGTGGTTACTATGTAACTGAAGGAAGAACCGGAGTATCACTAACAATAAAATGAGAAACCAGGCAAGTAGGCTTTGGGCCCTTCTAGCCTGCCGTCATCCGAAATCATCTTGGCTAATCTTCCACCTCAAATCCACATGCACCATTTCCTACATTCGCAGATAGATTTTCTGAAATCTATCGACCTTATTCGATGACAGAGCAGCCACAACTTTGTGGGGTAGAAAATTCTAAAAAAAATTCACAACTTTGCCAGTCCTAATGACTGGACCCATATTACAAGATTGTGTTTATGTTTTATATTTTCTAACCAGGATTTGCAGCCTCTCAGTATCTACCCTGTAAAGACACTGAAGGATCTTGAATAAGATCTCTTCTCATTTGTATAAACACCAAAAAAAAAAATAGGCACAATTGAGTTTATAAATGGAAAATCCTCTCACTCCAGGAACAAATCTAGTAAATTTACTGTGATTTTTTTTTCATATTAATTTGTGGGACATGGGTGTCGCTGGCTGGCCAGCATTTCTGGCCCATCCCTAGTTGTTCTTGAGAAGGTGGTGGTGAGCTGCCTTCTTGAACCACTGCAGTCCTCCTGCTGTGGGTTGGCCCACAATGCTATTAGGGAGGGAATTCTAGGATTTTGACCCAGCGACAGTGAAAGAACGGCGATATATTTCCAAGTCAGGATGGTGAGTGACTTGGAGGGAAACTTGGAGGTGGTGGTGTTCTTGTATGTTTGATGCCCTTGTCCTTCTAGATGGAAGTGGTTGTGAGTTTGGAAAGTGCTGTCTGAGGATCTTTGGTGAATTTCTGCAGTGCATCTTGTAGATAATATACACACTGCTTCATCTCCAATGCAAATGTATCCTTCTGTAAATATGGAGGCCAGAGCAATGCAGAATATTCTGGGTGTGGTTTCACCAAAGCCATGGCCAATCGTCGCAGGACTTTTTAGCTCCTGTGCTCTATCCTCTTGCTGTATAGACCAGCAAGTCATTTCCTTTCCTAATTGCTTACCATTACATGCAAGCTAATTTTTGTGGGCTCCTTGATCAATAACACCCACACTTCTCTGCACATTAACATCCAGAATTCTTGCATTTTTTATAAAATGTTGTGCTTGTCAATTCTTATTACTCAATGAATTTTCATCATGTTCTCTTTACAGCTTAACTCCCCACCTAACTTTGTATTGCCAACAATGAACACATTATTCTCAGTTTCTTCATCCAAAGTTATTAAATATAGATAGAAAATAAATTACTATTGCAAAAATATACTTTGTTCATAGAAGGAAATCTTTAACCGTGTATGCACATAATGCAGCCATTCCGATCTAGATCGTCATTACTTAGAAAATAAAATAAACATTGGCATTTGTCTTTCTCTATATTTACAATTAAACTTTTGGCATTTAGCTGAGGCATCAGCAGGGTCTGATTATTGAATGGACACCTTGCTTTGCTTTGGCAGAAGGATCTTACACGGTGGTATTTCTCCACTTTGCCTTGGTGGCATTTGCCCCAAGTTTTATTGCGTCCGTCAGCATGTAGTCCTGGACCTTGGAACATGCCAGTCTGCAACACTCAGCTGGGATCAAGTCTTTCAACTGGAAAACCAGCAAGGTTCAGGCAGACCAAAGTGTGTCTTTCACCGCGTCGATGGTTCTCCACGCGTCTGTGATGTTGGTCTCTGTGTGCGTCCTGGGAAACAGACCGTACAGCAGAGCCCCACATCATGGAGCTGCTTGGGATGAACCTCGACAAAATCCATTGCATTTCTCTCCAGACTTCCTTTGCACAGGCACATTCCAGAAGATAAATAGCCAAGACTCCAGCATTAATCCTCATAATACCCCACTCCAGCCTGCCAAATTGAATAAGGCCTTTCATCCCTGGTTTCTACATCCTGTTAACAATTCCTTATCTATGCTAATATATTATCTCCAACTCCATGAGCCTTTAGCCTGCAATATTAACCTATTGGGAGGCATTTTACTAACTGGTTCCCATTTATCTACTTACTTAGTAATACATTCTAAAGTGCTCACACCTGTCTGGTTATAAATTATTCGATATGCCTGGGAAGGTTTTCATGCAATGAAAGACACTGTATAGTGCAAGCTGTTGTCGGTGTATACAGTGTTGACACTGCACATATAATGTTACTTTTCAGTCCTTCTTACATGTCCACGTTCTCCACATTTTCAACAGGACTCTTCCATATTGTCTGCACCTCCTGAGGAGCTGCTTCCCTTACAGTACAGAAGGTTACAGGGAAAGTTGATAACAGGTATTCAAACCACGAAGCAGCTCAACAGAATAGATAGGGAGAAACCATTCTGGCTGAAGAAAGGAACAAGAACCAGAGGGCACAGCTGTGTGGTGATTGGCATGAAAAGCAATAGCAACACAAGGTAAATCTTATTCGGTAATCGAGTGGTTAGGCAGGGTCATGTCCAAATTGAGGCATTCAAGAGGGAGTTGGATTATCATCCGTAAAAGGGCAGTGCAGTGGCATTAAGTGCAGCACTTCTTCAGGAAGTCAGCACAGATATGACAACCTGAACAGGCTCCTTTCCTGCTGTAATCAAATGTATGATTCTAGTCGTTTGACTCGTTACACTGACAAGTCAGCTAAAAAAAAAAACAACACGTGTACAGTACATGCTTTGGGCTGCACTTCTCTCAACTTACACTGCAATCACAGCTGCATTGTACAGTATACCTTGTGATATGATCACATAAATCAGACCATTAATCCACAGAAGAAAGACCTTTAAATATTGAGATGTCTAGCCAGATGCAGCACATCTGTACCTCTTCAGAACCTGACATTATCCTCTAACTCAGTCCTTTATGTCAGTGACTCACTTCAAATATTGCTTCACAACTCATCCATCTTAATTTATTAACTATTTGGCAGATGAGAGTTGGTTACAATGGTAAAAGAGGCCATTCAACCTGTTGAGTCCATGCTGGTTCTCTGGAGTGCAATCTCATCAGTCTCATTCTCTTATTCTATCTCCGTAACCCTGAAAATTTATTTCCCTCACGTGTCTATCCAATTTATTTTAAAAATCAAAAATCAATCATTCATTATTTCTACTTCCACCAAGCTTGAAGGCAGCACTCCTGATCATTATCACACATTATGGAAATGTTCTTCCTAAGATTCCCCTGTAACCCCTGTCCAAAAGATTAAAACCTTACATCTGTGTTCCAGTTCTTACAGTCATGAGCTTTCCTTCGCTTACTTATCGCAGTCTGTCATAACCTTGTACGCTTGTATCAAATCTCCCTTTCGCATCCTTTACTCCAAAAAGAGAACAGCTTTAACCAATATCATCTTGTAGCTGAAATCAACTCATCCCAAGAACCATTCTGGTAAATCTCGTCTGCGCATCACGTCTTTCCAAGAAAGAGAGTGGTGGTAGAACTGGACACCCGACTCCAGCTAAAGCTTAACCACAGCTTAAGAAGAACCTGAGATAGTAGGAACTGCAGATGCTGGAGAATCCGAGACAACAAGGTGCAGGGCTGGATGAACACAGCAGGCCAAGCAGCATCATAGGAGCAGAAAGGCTGACGTTTCAGGCCTAGACCCTTCAATCAGAAATGGGGGAGGGGAAGGGGGTTCTGAAATAAATAGGGAGAGAGTGGGAGGCGGATAGAAGATGGATAGAGGAGAGGAAACAAACAGGTCGAAGAGGCGGGGATGGGGCCAGTAAAGGTGAGTGTAGGTGGGGAGTTAGGGAGGGGATAGGTCAGTCCAGGGAGGACGGACAGGTCAAGGGGGCGGGATGAGGTTAGTCGGTAGGAGATGGGGGTGCGGCTTGGAGGTGGGAGGAGGGGATAGGTGGGAGGAAGAACAGGTTAGGGAGGCGGGGACGAGCTGGACTGGTTTTGGGATGCGGTAGGGGGCGGGGAGATTTTGAAGCTTGTGAAATCCACATTGATACCATTGGGCTGCAGGGTTCCCAAGCGGAATATGAGTTGCTGTTCCTGCAACCTTCGGATGGCATCGTTGTGGCACTGCAGGAGGCCCAGGATGGACATGTCGTCTGAGGAATGGGAGGGGGAGTTGAAATGGTTTGCGACTGGGAGGTGCAGTTGTTTATTGCGAACCGAGCGTAGGTGTTCTGCAAAGCGGTCCCCGAGCCTCCGCTTGGTTTCCCCGATGTAGAGGTAGCCACACCGGGTACAGCGGATGCAGTATACCACATTGGCAGATGTGCAGGTGGAAAGTCACTTCTGCTTTTGTACTCAAGGCATCTATTTATGAAGCGCAAGATCACATACACTTTGCTTTGTCTCAATTTTCCCTGTGACATTCAGAAACGTATGCACCGTCCTCTCACCACCAATCCCCATGTGCCTGAACACGTGTCATAATATTGTAAAAAACCAAATCACATAAATAAGTTTGAAAGCTTTTGGAATACACTGTAAAAGAGGCAGTCAACAAGACAATTTTTGAAATTCTTCTCTAATGGGCAGGGACCTAGCTATTGATGGATTAACTTCATCTTCCAAGGCCAAAGAAGCAGTGAGTAACAATTTTTGTTATAATCCAAGTTTATTAATGCATTAACTTAAGATGATAGCCCTAAAACAGAGGTGGATGCATTCAATAGGGACCTAAAAAGTGACAACCATAATCTTTTAAGTAAATTTGCAAGAATTCAGGAAGCCAAGCACAGGAATGGTGGAATTTGTCTTCGAGTGAAGGAGGCCTGGATTAGAACAGTTAATGCTGTAATCCAACCTATTGCTGTCCAGTGTCATGCTCCTGTTATCACAGAGCTCTCAGTATTACAGCCATGAAACACAAAAGCTTCATTTTAAAATGGCCACAGAATGTAAACAAAAATATTCATTTATGAGAGAGAGAGTATGTTAAACAATTATTTAAACCTTGTGTGCACGTTTAGTCAATGTTATCTGAGGCCGTGTTACTACCTCCAGATCACTGTCCAGT